TAACCCAAAGCAAATCTATATCTAGAGGAAAAGCCTTTAATATAGCCTAATTAGCGTGTAGCGGATTCGAATTGGCCAGCCTCTGTTTCTACTCTCCTTTGCCTATCCCCTCATGCAACTAAACGGCTGTGTGTTGCATAATTTGAAGCGTTGCGAATTAGTTGAGCTATCATCAGCTGCATCAGCGCGCTAGTCTCGTCCAGGCTGCAGGACGTGGCACGTGTATCATCTTTTACATTTTTAATTTGCGCTTGGAGAGGGGATGTGTGTGGGGCTGGGGCTGGGGCTGGGCAAAATGTTAATCATGATGAACCAGTTAGACACACACTGAGACAGAGGGAAATGAGCTGGAGCTGGGGCGATGACTGACTGCGTGCGTGTGTGGATGGATGTGGGTGGGCGTGGCACGTGCTCTGCATCGTCATCTCTCATGTAAAATGCATGAAAAACAAACACGCGCGTCTTTTTTGCCTTACGCATAACAGTTCTTCCTCTTATGTATATGTATATACATTATCTTTTTTATATTTTGTTTTCATTTTTATGTGAGCCTAAGCCAAGCACCAAACCCTACGCCCCTCTATCTTGTGTGCCATAAGTCTGTCTCTTGTTGACAACTGTCTATTCAGCTCGTTGGCGTCCGGGGAGGGGATGCGATGTTGCGGGGGCACTACTGCTGGTTTGTTGCACTGCGCAAATTTGCATAGAGAAACGAATGAAGAAGTCTCTCTCTCTCTCTCCTCTCTCGCTCTACCTCTGTCTCTTTTCATTTTGCTACTCATCTGTTTTTCTTTGTCTTTTTGCTTTTTGCTCCTTCTGAACTTCTTCCTTCTCACCCTTTTCTCCTCCTTTTCCTTTTCCTTCTTCTTTTTCTTCTTCTCCTTCTCCTTCTTCCTTCTCATTTTCCTCTCTTTCTTTTTTATTATTCTTTCTTTCTCACTCTCCTTGTGCTTTTCCCTTTTTTCTTCTTCTCATTTTCCTACTCCTGATCTTTGCTCTTCTTCTCTCCTTCTTCTTTTCCTCCTCCTCCTGTCCTTSCCGTCTTCTTCTCTTCCTCCTACTCACTTTGTTTTCTCTTTAAGACTCTTATTGTCTCTCCCTTGTTCCGCCTCTGTCGACGTCTCTTTCTCACTATCTTCTCTATCTCTAATTGATCTATGAATAACAGAAGTTATTCCCCATAAATGTAATATAACAGTATAACCCAATTTAAGAAATTTGTATCAAGTACAAAATAAAAAGAATGGTTCTATTCCTGCTATAGCATCACGCTTAAGGTTAACAGAGTTATAGCCTACTCTATACATCCTCACACAAGATCACAGAATAAATAGTTTAGTATTTCATTTCGAAGAAGTCAAGCTTTAAGATTTTGTGACTTTATGCAAACACAAACGCACACACTCACAGTTGGAAAAGACAAAAGTGGACACAAAGTGGAGCAGCTGTTGCATAATTTATGCGAGATGCTAACCTACTCGACAGTCACTCGATAGCCCTCCAGCTCCCAGATTTGGCGTCGAATTATGCAGCACCCAAAAGTATACAGCAGCTGTTCGGAGCTATGCTGCCTGGACGGACAGGCAGACGGATGAGTAGACTGGCGCAGGAGTCGCAGCGCTAAGCGAATCTCATGTGATGGCAGAATGAAACCTTTGCTGTGCATAATTTAGTGCTTGGCTTAACTCGGAATGTGTTGCAGCAACAATAACAGCAACAGCCACAGCAAACAAGGACAACAAAGATTGAGTAATTCAGTGGGTGTGTAGGATAAAGTAGTTTATGAGCTGACACTTCAGACACCCGGAAATAATAATAAAGAAAACAAACGCAACGAGAATGCAGATGAGGACGAAAACTTGGGCATGCAAATGAAAGAGTAGATGACAGGCCGGTGCGAGGAGATTAAAATGCAATCGAGCAGACAACAAACCGGAAGTGTTTATAGCACAAATCCTCTGGGAATGCAAATACAATTTGAGTTTCTTTTAAGGTGTTGAAAAGCAAAAAGAAGAAATTCCGACAAGTGTGCCGATTCTATTTTAGCATGTGCTAAGGGAAAAGGCTCCTCAAAGTTGTTATCCACTTGATATATAAATATACTTTAAATGCGTACAAAAATATGAAATGTATAAAAATTATGTATGTAGATATACTTATGTTTTATTGACTCAAAGCTAAACTGAATTCTTAAGTATAATGAATTTCTATATTGTATATTTTAATTTATAATTTGGGAACAATAATTTTAGAAAAAAAAAACTGTTATACAGATCTTGCCTTAGATATGAATGGTACAAAGTTAGTTATATACATAGATAGATGGAAATATGAAAGGTTTAAATCTTGGTGCTGAATTTAATCGTTGTGAATAAACCAAAGTTCTAGTTAGGATGTATTAAAAACTGTTAAGAATTGGAGGAACAAAACTGTTATATGTACGTTTAAACTTCTACATACATTTTTTTCGATTTAGAATTTCTATAAATGAATTTTTATTGAACTTAATTAAAAGAAACTGTAATAATTTCGTAGCACAAAACTGTTGTATTAGAATGCAAAGCTTAATTGCTTAACTACTAGAAAATGTATTTCTGAATAAAAACACTCTGGGTAATTTGAAGAAAAAATTGAAAATCTGAAAAAAAAAAAAAAAACAAAAGCAACGAATAGCTGTTATACCCATCACTCTATCTCTCTGTTCGTTGTTAAGAGTTGCAGATTAGTTGGAGTGCCATCTAATCTATTTAAAACTAGAGCAAATGGCAGGAAATTCAAGTGCTGAGTGGAGGGAGGGGAGAGAGAGAGAGAGGGAGCAAAAGGAAAATCATGAAAAGGTCACTCGAGAGGAAAATGGCTGCTTGACAAATTTAAACTTGCAAAGTAATTAAGTTAAAATTTACTATGAATGGAAAGCCGAAACAGAGTATTCATTAATGAAATTACAAATATTTCGGAAATGCTAAAGTTTAGCTAAGGTAGGAGCTGGCCATTCGCCCACACGTCCATTCGCTGGAGACCTTTGCCCTTTGCGTCGCTTCTACATTGATTAATTATAAAGAATCACAGCTGCTGCAATTGCAAATGCAAATATTTTGTTGGAGCTGGCAGCTAGAAATACGACTATAAATAGGAAAATCCTGCTGCTCCCTCGCTGACCATTGGCTCAACATTCGAATAACCCAGGAGTCCGATGACGGGTGTAGGGCGTGGGGCGTCGAGCAAACGAAGGAGCTGTGCACAGCTGCAGTTGAAAAGTTCAGGCAGCTGCACTTCAGGCCAAAACGTTTCGGCTGGCTCTTTCCCTCTCTGTGTGCTAAGCCGGCTTTCTGTAGCTGAAGAGGCTAACTGGACTTGCTAACTGAATTGGTAACAGATTGACGGATATTATATTTACACTAACAGATATGTATACTATATAGATTGAGTAGGATGGTAAAGACTTGTATAGATTAGTGATGAGAGATCAAGGGCTGATTAGCTCCATAGAACGTACTATATCAATAGCTAAATTCAATTCAATAGTATTTGATCTTAATCATAATATATTATTGACCGATGTTAAGTTGATTATTAAGTCGAGCCTTTGGAAAGTGCTGTCTAATTATGTTAAACTTGAAATAACTACATTAATAGTTATTGGTCAAGTTAGATTTAAGGGAAATACTTAAAAAACAAAATTAAAGCTAAAGATAAAATTAAGCTGCAATAAAAGAAACTCATATATATTATAGATTATTTTTATATAAATTCAGAAAGTTTAGTCTTTCTGAATACTCAGTTAGGTAGAGACCTGCGTTTCCATTGCTAGTACGTCCGTTGGCTCATCTGTAATTTTTGTCTATTCCAGAAAATCCGTTATGATTCAGCAGACAAAGTCGTTATAGAAGATGCAGCTAAGCTTATAGGCAAATTATTTTAGAGTACTTCTAAGGCTATTTAAATTTATATTCATGAAAAATCATGGAAAAGCTTTTACACTTTTCAAATTACACATTAATATTAATTAATATTATTAATGAATAGATTACTATCCTTATCATGCGCTTTCTATTTACACAATTTCATTTTACAAATGAAGCCTTTAGTATTTAGAGTATTTCATATTCGGCTAGCATTTTTTTGTAATCTAGCTTTTTTTTTTGCTAGTTTCTGTATGCAAATTTAATTAATTTTTTTGTTTTTGTGTAGTCTTCCTGCAGTAGCACAATGTGTGTATGGGACTGTGTGTGTGCTGCTGTGCTCGTGTGTGTGTGTGTGTGTGTGGGCGTGACCTACTTGCATTCGCAGCACAGGGACGTGCTGACGTTTCCCTTGGCTATGCAAAAAATGAATTTCAAAGCAAATATGACAGCGAATGGAGAATTATGTTCGTCGTGCGTGTGTGTGTGTGTGTCTGTGTGTGTGGGGGCATGTGACACGCCCACTTGTTGTGCCTCACTAATACTTGATGCAATAGAGTTTGTTTTTCTTTCAACTGCTTGCAGCGCATAAAAAATGTAATTGAAGCTACAACAACACATCTGAAACACGCATACATACACTTTTTCTGTGTATGTGTGTGTGTGTGTGTGTGTGTGTGTTGAAGGTCGTTCGCTGGCACGCCCCCTGCTAGCGACGCCTCTGACCACGCACATGCAACATTTGCTTGTTTCCTTTTGCTTTTCTTTCATTTTTGCTTTTGTGCTTGGCAACCAACTAACTACAACAACAACAACAGCAACTATAAGAGCAAGAACAACAACAAAAAGTCTTAGCTATTTTCCACCATTTCCCCTGTGCTTGGCAACCGAACTAGCCCACACACCCCCGCGCCCCCACCCGCCCAGGCTAAACAACAAAATGCCCGTCGATAAATTAGTTGTACGCCATGTTCGAGGCAATTGTTTGTTGTCCCCCGTGCTCGAGTCTGTTGCATATGTAGAGAGTAATTGTCTCTTCATTTCGATATACATATCTCTATATATATAGAATGTGCATGTGTGGGTATTTGGACTAAAACGCTCTTTGGTATTTTTTAGTGCGCAGCTGCCGCACCGGCAAACAGGTGCAGATGACGGAGGCGGAGGTGCGCGGCTTGTGCTTGAAGTCACGCGAGATATTCCTACAGCAGCCCATACTGCTGGAGCTGGAGGCGCCACTGATCATCTGCGGCGACATACACGGCCAGTACACAGACCTGTTGCGGCTGTTCGAGTACGGCGGCTTTCCACCGACGGCCAACTATCTGTTCCTCGGCGACTATGTGGACCGGGGCAAGCAGTCACTGGAGACGATCTGCTTGCTCCTGGCCTACAAGATCAAATATCCCGAGAATTTCTTCTTGTTGCGCGGCAATCACGAGTGCGCCAGTATTAATAGAATTTATGGTAAGTGTGCGTTGCTGACTGAGATGTGGATTACGTGTACCATGGCATCCACATTGAGCGTACATTAAGTTTGCTTTGTGGGTGGTAAGAGTATTATGGGGGCAAAAGTGGGCGGTAAGTGCAGATCAAAGATAAATTAATTTGACTGAGGAATATTCATATGTGCATTGTAATATGATTGTGGGACATATGTGGATTCTAAGTCTAAGGCTATATTTGATAGAGGATTGTAATTGTTCTATATGCATTGTATAATTGAGGGATACATGTGGATTGTAAGTGTAGACAAATCATAAATTTTCAATGTGGATTGTAATACGTTTATAGGACTCATGTGGATTGTAGGAGGAGACAACTTTTTGATCGAAGAAAAACTCATTTGATAGAGAATAATACATATGTTTTAAACATATGTATGTAGACTGTAATATGATTATAGGGCAAATGTGGATTGTAAGGGAGAAAAGAAGAGAAGAGAGAACTGCAATTAGACTGTATGGTATGTGGATAGCAATACAATTGTGGGGCACATGTGGGCTGTAAATGGAACGTATATGTAATAAATTGGACTATAAGTAGATCGTGAGAGAAACTTATGTATTTGATAGTGTAGCGTATGTGATTCCATGGATTTTGGATTATAAGTAGATTGTGGAGAAGAAACAACATAGGTCTATTAATGAATAGGAGGCCGGTGTGAAATAAATTGATTGCATATTATTTAGATATGTAGTGCTTTAGTATATCGTATATGTATTGTGTATGCCGCATGGAGACTACGTGAAACTCTGATCATTCGCATACATTAATTGCTCTGTGCTAGGAAATTGCCAAGCGATGTAATCTTGTAATCCATGATACGCCTTCTGTGTATGCTATATATAATACTTGTTTCTCTCGCCAGGCTTTTACGACGAGTGCAAGCGTCGCTATAATGTCAAACTATGGAAGACCTTCACAGACTGCTTCAACTGTCTGCCGGTGGCCGCGATCATCGACGAGAAGATCTTTTGCTGCCACGGCGGCCTCAGTCCCGACCTGCAGGGCATGGAGCAGATTCGTCGCCTGATGCGACCCACAGATGTGCCCGACACTGGGCTGCTGTGCGATCTGCTYTGGAGCGATCCCGACAAGGATGTCCAGGGCTGGGGCGAGAATGATCGTGGCGTAAGCTTCACCTTCGGCGTTGATGTGGTATCCAAATTCTTGAATCGACACGAGCTGGACTTGATTTGTCGTGCGCATCAGGTGAGACAGCCCGCCCCAATGCATTGGTACTAAAAAATTAATGCTAAATCTCCATGAATGCTTTCTGTTTAGGTCGTTGAGGATGGCTACGAGTTCTTTGCGCGACGTCAGCTGGTCACACTGTTCTCGGCGCCCAACTACTGCGGCGAATTCGACAATGCTGGCGGCATGATGACCGTGGACGATACGCTCATGTGCTCATTCCAGGTAAGATCCATCCAAAACTTGAGTGTGCTCAGCGTGCGTGCTTCATGTCCATTTCCATTGCAGATATTGAAGCCATCCGAGAAGAAGGCCAAGTACTTGTACAGCGGCATGAACTCGTCCCGGCCAACAACACCGCAGCGCAGCGCCCCAATGTTGGCGACCAACAAGAAGAAATAATATATCCATCCGCTTCCATTTCCTTAAAACCTCAACAAACAGCAGCAGCAGCAAAAACAATTAACAACAAATAAACGAATAACTTTTATATAGTATATATACGTACATAAATATGTCAAAATTTAATGTGTGCAAACTA